TATAGAGAGAGAGCAAGAAGACAGAGATAGAGATAGAGATATGAGAATTGAGAATATGAGATAGTAGATAGAGATTAGAGATAGTAGATATTGAGGATAGAGATAGAGATAGAGATATGATGCTAGAGGATATGATAGATAGATTTAGATAAGTAATAGATAGAAGAGAGAGAGAGAGAGAGAGAGAGAGTGAGAGAGAGAGAGAGTGAGAGAGAGAGAGATTTCATCAAATATTTATTTATATATTTAAATTCATATTTATTATCTTATTTTTCATTTCTATTTCATTTTTGTTTATTTTGATTGCATTTTATTTTAATCTTTATTTTCCTTTTTTCTGTTTATTTCAAGATTCCTTTGTTATATTTTAGTTTTTTCATGTTATATTCTTTTCTTTATTTTTTCTATAATACTTTTATTGTCTTTCATTCTTTCTGATTTTATTGTGTTTGTTTTTTAATTATTCTCTCTTTTTCTATTTGATTTTTTTTTTTTATCATTTTCTCTTTCTCCTTTCCCCCTTTTTGATGTCGAGTCTATTTATTATATACTTTTTCTGATGGCTTTTTTTTTTATGATAAGAAATGTGAATATACGTCTCTTTTTATCAATTACTGAATAATGTGATTTTATCATTTTATATCTTTTATTTAAATGTTTCTGTTATTATGTTATGCTTTATTTTCATGATATTATAATATTTATGTAGTTCCATATAAGTTATATACACACACATGCCCTTAGACAAACACATATACATACATAGAAACACACACAACACACCCCAACCCACCCACCTACACACACACCCAAACACTCCACACCACATACACACCTACACCCCCACACCTACCCCCACCCCCATCAACCACCCCTACACCCCTCACCCCCCCACTCCCATCACACCTCCCCCCTCCCCCCAATAACACACTCAACTCAACCCACCCCCTCCTCACTTTCTTCTCTCTCTTTTCTCCCCCACTTAAAAGATTTCAATCGCTGAAGGACCATGTCTGACGGAGAAGGATGCCTATTATCACAAGGAAATGGAGAACATGAGAACCATTGCCGATCGTTGACATATGGGAATCTGCGGCCCGAGTACCAGAAGCTGGACGAGAAATCCTGGTCGCAGATGGAGAACTTTGCAGGAGAAGCATAGGGAGGAGAATGGGTGAGTGGATTTGGGGTGGGTGTGGTTAAGGGTGGGTTAAGTGGGTGTTGGTGAGGGTGGTTATAGGGGTGGGTTGGGTGGGTGGTGGGTTAAGGGGGTGGTTAAGGGGTTGGGTTTGGGTTAGGGGTGGGTTGGGTGGGTGGGTTAAGTGTAGGGTGGGTGGGTTAAGGGTGGGGGGTTAAGGGGTGGGTTGGTGGGTTAAGGGTAGGGTGGGGTGGGTGGGTTGGGGTTTATGTGGGTGGGTGGTTAAGGTAGGGTGGGTTAAGGGTTAGGTGGGTTGGTGGGTTGGTGGTGTGTGGTTTGTGTTAATGTGTGCGGGTATATATTTGTGTGGAGAATATTGACCCTATGAGAGGTAAATATATACATAGATATGTTGAATGCGAGAGAAAAGATTATATACAGTAGATAGTGAGAGAATTTAAAAAAAAATCCTAATTCATAACATATATGAAACAGAAAAAAGTCAAATTTAAAAATGGATGAAAACAAAATGCAATTATTGACGAGAAAAAAAAGAAAGAAAAAAAAGGAAACGCACAAAGAAGCAAAATAATATTTCCAAAATTTACCCCCTCCCCCCCATACACAAATACCATTATCCCCTCTCCTTCACGTATGACCTATACCGCTGTCTCTCTCTCCCCCCCTGCCCCCTCTCCCTATCTCTCTCATCTCTCTCCCTCTCCTCCCTTGCTTTTCCTTATCTCTCTCCCTTCCCTCCTTTTTTCTCCCCTCTCCCCCTTCTCCCTCACACTATCTCTCTCCCTCCCCCCCCTTTTCTCCCTCTCCCTTTCATTTTCTTTCTTCATTTCTCTCCCCATATCTCGTTCTCTCTTCTTCCTCTCTCCATTTATCTCCCCTCCCCCAATTCCCTCCCTATCTACCCCCCCCAATTCTCCCCTCCCTCCATACCCTCTCATACTCCCCATATACCCCCCATACCATCCCCACCCCCCTCTGGACCGCCTACGAGAGGAACACGAAGAGAGAGTGAAGGAACTTGAGGCTCGACTGAACGCTGCCACGTGTCAGCTGCCGGACGATGACGCAAGAGTACAGCTGGAGAAGATGTATAAGGATCAGGTCGAGCATTTGACTGACCAGCAGACGCACAACATGGGTGAGTGTCTGGTGGAGGAGAGGGAAAAAGGAGAGGGAAGGGAGGAGGGAGGGAGGAGGGGAGGGGAAGGAGGAGGGGGGAGAGGGAGGAGGGAGGAAGAGGAGGGAGGGGGGAAGGGGAGTAGGGAGAAGGAGAGAGTGAGGAGGAGAACGGAGAGGAGTAAGAGGAGGAGAACGGAGAGTTTGAGGGGAAAATAGGAGAAGAGGGATAAGGAGAATGAGGAGGAGAAGGAAGGGAGAAGAGAGAGTGAGGAGGAGAAGGGAGAGTTAAGAGGAAAATAGGAGAAGAGGGAGAAGGAGAGGATGAGGAGGAAAAGAGTGAGGAGAAGGGAGAAGGAGAGAGTGAGGAGGAGAAGGGAGAGTTAAGAGGAAAAAGGAGAAGAGGGAGAAGAGAGAGTGTAGGAGGAGAAGGGGAGAGAGTGAGGAGGAGAGAGAGGAGGGAGGAAGAGAAAGAAGAGAGTAGGAGAAGAGAAGGGAAAAGGGAAAATAGGAAAATAGGGAGAAGGAGAGAGAAAAGGGAGGAAAGGAGAGGGAAATGAGTGAGAGACAAAAATAGATTAAGGGGAAGGGGAGAGAGGAAGGAGATGGTGAAGGAAAGTAAGAGACAGGAAAGAGAGGGAGATACAAAGGGTAAGAAGAAGGAGAGGTTATAGAAATAGAGAGAAGAAAAAAGAAAGGGTAAAGAGAAGGAGAGAAAGAAAATCGAGAGGGATAATCAGTAGACACGAGGAATATATAGAAGGAGAGGGGAGAAAAAGAGAGAGCGAAGAAGAAGGAAAGGCTGGAGAGAGAGAGAAGGCGTGAGAGACAAGAGAGATAGGAGAAATGTGAATGAGAAGAGAAAAGGAGAGGAGAAGGAGATGGGAAAGACATGGAGATTAAAAAAGTGTTATAAGAAAGAGAGAGAGAAGAAGAAGGAGGGATTTAAAAAAATCTATAAATGGGATAGGAAATATAAGATAGAGAGGAGAAACAGAGAAGGATAGGGAAAAAGAGAGAGGAGAGAGAGAGAGAGAGAGAGAGAGAGAGAGAGAGAGAGAGAGAGAGAGAGAGAGAGAGAGAGAGAGAGAGAGAGAGAGAGAGAGAGAGAGAGAGAGAGAGAGAGAGAAAAGGAAAAGAGAAAGAGAAAAAGAGAGAGAGCAAGAAACCAAGAACAAAAACTAAGAACCCAAAAAAGAAAGAAATAACGACATAAAAATAAATTAGATAAAAAATAAAAAAAACAAAAAAATATCACAACAAAATTCATCATCTTCCCCCCCCCCCACAGAGAGACTACGCGAGAGTTGGAAGCCGAGAAATTCAGAGCCGTCGAGGAGGCCCGGGTGCTGGTGTCGAAGCATCTGGAGTACGTCAACGCCACGCTCAGGGAACAGCTGACTGAAGCCGTCACGAGTAATAACATTGTGAGTGTTTTTTTTTTTTTTTTTTTTTTTTTTTTTTTTTTTTTAGGGGGTGGGGAGGTTGTGGTCCTTTTTTTTTGAGGGTGTGGGGAGGTGGGTGTGGGGGGGTTGTGGGATAGGGGTGTATGTTTGTATTTATATAGACGCATATATATATTGTATGGATATATTTATATCACAGATCATGCACTGGCAGATACTTATTATATATTTTTCTCTCTCTCTCTTCCTCTTCTCCCCCTCTCTCTTCTCTCTACTCTCCCCTCTCCCTCCTCCTCTTCTCTCCCTCCCCCTCCTCTCTCTCTCTCCCTCCCTCCTCACTCTCCCTCCTCCTCCTCCCCTCTCCTCCCTCCCCTCTCTTCCTCCTTCTCCCTCCTTCTTTCCCTCCTTCTCCCTCCCCCTCCTCCCCCCCCCCCTCCCCCTCCCCCCCCACCCGCAGTACCGCCAAGAGAGCGAGGCGATGCGCATGGCTCTCCAGCGGCGCGAGGAGGTCATCCAGAGCCTCGAGGAGGACATGGCCAAGCTCAAGGCGGAGTACGGCCTCAACAAGAGCCCCTCCCACCCTCACTACATGGCCTCCCAGAGCTCCCTGGCCTCCTCCAACGACTCCAGCAGCACCTCCTCCAGTAACTCGCAGGACCGAGTCAGTCTGTCCGAGTCCATAGGCGCCTCAGCGGAGGAGGAGACGCCGAAGTCGGGGTGAGTCAGGCTCCGGTTCTTCCTCTCTTGGAATTTTTATTCATTTATCGGTTTATATGATTATTATCTTTATTTTTTACTATCATATATATATATATATATATATGTATATATATATATATATATATATATATATATATATATATATATATATATAATATATATATATATTATATATATATATATATATATATATATATATATATATATATATATATATTATATATATATATATATATATATATATATATATATATATATATATATATATATATATTATATATATATATATATATATATATATATATATATATATATATATATATATATATATATATTATATATATATATATGTCTATATATGGTTCTTTCACTTTATTAACTTTTATGTCTCATTCTTTTCATCATTTTAGTTTTAGTTTTTAGTTTCCTAGAATGTTCTCGTGAAAGTCTGTTTAATCTGCTTCTGTTGCATCTGTGCAATAGCGCCTAATTAAACGTTTTGAAAAGATGCATAGACGTGTATTTATATGGAGTGAAATGGCTGGTGAAATTAACGCTGAGGGAATAACATGCCAAGCGTTGCGAATTTGTTTTAGGCTGTGTGCAAAAAAAAAAAAAAGCGCGCCATTTTTTAAAATTGTAGTTCAGACAAATTGCAAAACACCTGGCGTATATGGTTATTAATGAAATGATTATATGCAATGCTGCATCGTTTGGAAGTATATCTTTATATGCTTTTTTTCATTCATTGCAATTTGTTTATTTGTATATATATATTATTCATTTGATAACATGGTTAAGTTGCGTTAATGCCTGAAGGTAAACGTAAACGTAAATAAATAAATAAATAAATAAATAAATAAATAAATAAATAAGAAATAACAAATGTAAAAAAATTAAAAATGAATCTTATAACTAGAATACCTTAACGCTCCAAAAGATGTTATTTTTTAAAAAAATTATTTTATCATTATTCATTCAGAAAAGACAATAACCCAATTTAATAATAATAAAAAAAAAAAAAAAACAACGCTGACTTTCGCTACAAAAGTCATCTATTTTCCTTTTCCTTTTGCTTTTGGAAATGTGTCGCTCATTTCATACAACTTTGCAGCGTTCGTGTTGATATTGCAAGGAAAAAATATGTTTTAATTACAAGCTAACAATTAGCCTTAGCAAAATAACTTCTCTGCTTTCGGGTGCTAGATTGAAGCGTAAATTATGCTTATAATGATTTTGAAGATAATCTGCATAGATGTAGTTTCGATTTTAATTAATTTGTGGCTGTAATGTAGAATGTCTTAATCATTTATCTTTTTATTTTGAAGGATTTTTTTTTTTTTGAGTATTGAAGTATGTAATAAGGATGAAAAAGATAAAGATAATACTAATAATTAAAATAACAATAAAGATATTGATATGATTAAAATAAATCAAATGGTTTGTCATTATATAAGAAACTGATAATAAGTAAGTACTAATTAATATACAAGACATAACATCACAAAAAAATAAATAAATGAATAGACCGGATCTCAAAAAAGAAAAAAAAGAAAGAAAATACATACAAAAAATCAAGCAAAAATCGCGAAAAAAACGAAAAAAAAGAAAGAAAGAAAAAAAAAATACATACAAAAATTAAACAAAAATCGCGAAAAAAACGAAAAAAAGAAAGAAAGAAAGAAAAAAAATACATACATAAAATAAGCAAAAATCGCGAAATAAAAAAAAAAACAAGCAAAGAAAAAGAAATAAAAAAGAAAGAAATTGCAAAGTTCGTCACAAATTCCAGGAATAATTAGATTTTGCAACAATTTCGCAACGTACATATCACCTCTTTTATTGGAATATTCCATTCTATTGTCTAATTGCTTCACGTCAAAATGGCGTTACGAAATAAAATAAATAAAAGCGATTCATGTAATTAAAACAAATATTATTCCTAACGATAATTAATTCCAGCCATCCTCTATATAAAAAACACGTGTATATCATGTATATAAGAGGCTGATTAATTGTATATATGTGTAAAATGTATGTGTACATTATGTATATATCTTATCTGCTCGTATGTATAGAAATTAGGATTTTATTTATTTTAACCGAAATGTTGGTATTATACATATCAAAGTGAGAGAAGGTATATGTTTTATTTACTATTTTCTTAATTAATTAGTGTCGTTCTCTGTCACTAACTTCTTTCAAAGTGTCTACTGGCAAGTGTTAATTATCATATCTAATTAAACTTTTTTTTTTTTTTAATCACTCTTTTGAAGAAATAGGATCCTGACATGTTTCTCTCTACGTCTCTCTCTCTTTATCATCAATTTTCTTTGCTGTTTATCATTTATCTTATTAATTGCCCTTACGTTTGATATAAAAAAAATCGTACGAAGGAATAGCATTTCGATGTAATTATTAATTAATTTTTAGATTATATTATTATCTCGAAAAGGGAAGGGGATCTTTAATACGTAAAATATTTAGATTTAAAGCAAAGACTATGAGGAAAATAATGATGCGAATGGGATAATGACGTTATTTTTGAGTGTAATGATGACAGTAATGATGATAATGATTATCCTCGCTTAATAATGATGAAATAATTACAGAAAAATTGGCACTCAAAAACCAACTTTTTTTTTTTATTCTATATTTTTCTTCTCTTCGATTCTGGTGATATATAATGATAATGACAATGATGATGGTAATGATGATGATAGTGATGATGACGATGATGATAATGGTAATGGTAATGATGATAATGAATCATATAGGATGAAACTGTGATAATGATAATGATAAAGATGATGATAATAGATATAATAATAACAGTAATGGTAATGATAACAATGATGATTTTGAGATTAATAATAGTAATGATAATACAATATAATAATAGTGATATCATTATAATGGCAAGAAGAGTAATAATAGTAATACTAATAATGATAATATTAATAATAAAATTACGACAAAAGTGATAATAACAACAAAAATAATAATGGTAATAATAAAAACAAAAATAATAATGATAATAACAATAAAAAACTAATAAAACTCGAATTTTCATAAACACAATAATGGTAAAAATAAAAACAAAAATAATAATGATAATAACAATAATAAAAAAATAAAACCCGAATTTTTCATAACGTTTTTTTTTTTTTCGTTTTTTTCTAGCCTCACGTACCTTACCTATGCCACTATTTTCTTTCTCTTCTTTAAGTTTCTCCCCCCGAATGTGGCACTGGCACTCACGGGCGTTGGCCTCATTGCCTTGCCCTTCCACCTGGTGCCATCCGAGGTGACCCAGGCGCGAAAAATTTAGAAATATCAAAAGAAAAGATAGAAAAAAAATTGGAAGGAATAGTACAAGATTTGGCAAAAAATGAGAAAAAAAATAGCGATCATTATTTTTTCTTTTTTTTTGTGAGAGAAAATGCCAGGAGATGATAATGATAATATCAGAGTTCAAAAAGTTTTGTTTTATTTTCACATTTACTTTCCCCTATCTTTCTCTTTCTCTCTCTCTCTCTTTCTCCCTTTCATCTCTTTTATTTTCTCTTTTTTTTTTGGCCCTTTCTCGTTTTTTTTCGCAAATCCCCTAATTTAGCATTCCTGCTTTAAGTATACGATATTGTGTGTTCGTTTGCGTGTATGCGTGTGCGTGCATTCATACATGTGTACCACGAATAAGGCCATACGTACAGGTATATTATGTCAGAAATAAAACTTCCATATCATTATGAAAATTTCCATTACATTGTGGAATAGGATTTTTTCATCTTTTTGGGGTATGTAACAACACGTTTTAAAAATTATTTACTTATTAATGTTATTATCATTATCATCATTGCATTATAATTATCATCTTCACAGTTAATATCACTATTTATGTCACTATCGTTATCATTTCCCTTTTTCTTATAATTCTCATAGGCTTTATCATTACCGTTATCGTTATCATCATTATTTATTCTATTATTTATTCCCTCACTTTCTTATTACTCTATTTAGCACTGACGTGGACACATGTGTATTTTTTCCCTTTATTTTTTCTCTTTTTCTCTTCTTTTCTTTGGTGTTTACAGACCTGTGTGTTCTTCAGGGTATTTTTTCTGTATATATAGTTTATTTATCTTTTTCTTGTATTTTTCTGCGGTTATTATCAGTTCCTTTCAGTTATTTTTATTCGTCTTTCGTTTCATCTTCATCGTCATCATCGTACCAATCTTTCTTTTCTATTCATCATTAATATTTCTTTTCATAAATTCCTTTCTTCATATACAATATTTTCCCTTTTTTTTCTTCCTTATCATTATTTATTTATATTTTTCTTACGTCAATCTTTTCTCCTCATTATCATTATCTTTTTCTACCTTTATCTATATATATATATATATATATATATATATATATATATATATATATATATATATATATATATATAAATCCAACCATTTATTTCTAAATTCTTTATCATTTTTAGACTATTTTTCTATTTAAAAAAAATCAACTCATACTCACTACCATCATCATCTTTCCAACCATTTATTTCTAAATTCTTCAACTGTTACCAGAAAAAAAAACAATTTTGATATTAATGTCCATCCTCCTCCTCCTCCTCTTCCCCCACCACCTCCTCCTCCTCCTCCTCCTCTTCTCTTCCCCACCTCCTCCTCCTCCTCCCCCACCTTCCCTCCTCCTCTTCCTCCTCTTCCCCCACCACCTCTCCTCTTCCCCTTCCCCCACCTCCTCCTCCTCCCTTCTTCTCCCCTCCTCCTCCTCCTCTCCCCTCCACCTCTCTTCCCCCACCTCCTCCTCCTCCACCCTTCCCCTCCTCCTCTTCCTCCTCCTCCTCCACCTCCACCACCTTCCCCTCCCCCACCACCTCTCTTCCCCCACCTCCTCTCCTCCACCTCCCCACCTCCCCTCCCCCCACCTCCTCTTCCCCACCTCCCCTCCTTCCCCCCCACATCCACCTTCCCCCCTCCTCCTCCCTCCTCCTCCTCCTCCTCCTCCTCTTCCTCCTTATTATAGCGGTAGCGGTCTTCTGGGCAAAGTATTCGGAGGTGGCTGGTTCGGCAGTTCGAAGGCAAAGGAGACACCTCGAAGGGGAAGTGCACCCTGTAAGAATATATATATATATATTTTTAAAAATATTTTTATTTTTAGGAATTCTTGGATGAATTGGCGTGGTAGATTTATTTATTTTCTCAATTTTTGATTAAAAAAAGAAATACAATTCTTGGGTTAATTGGCGTGGTAGATTTTTTTTTTTTTTTTTTGGAAGGGGTGATCTTTGCGGGTGTCTGTTTGTTTGGTTTGTTTTTCTTCCTTCCGTATGTGGTATGTCTTTGTTTCTTATTGTATTTTTTTTAGCTTTTTATTTCTTTCTGTCTTTTTTTCTCGATTCTTTTTTCTCTTTTCTTCTCTTCTCTCTCTCTCTCTCTCTTCTCACTCTCTCTCTCTCTCTCTCTCTCTCTCTCTCTCTCTCTCTCCCTCTCTCTCTCTCCTCCCTCTTTCTCTCCTCTACCTCCCCCCCTCCTTTCTTTCATTCTCTCTTCTTCTTCACCTCTTTCCCCTCTCCCCATCTCCCTCCTTCTCCCCCTTTCTCTTTCTCTTTCCCGCCCTATTCCCCCTCATTTTCTTTCTCTCTCCTTCTCTCTTTCCTTCTCTCTTTCCTTCTCTCTCTTCTATTCCCCGCGCGTTATTATCACTCGTTATTTCCGTCGTTTTCAACTAACGCCCTCGCACGCGCGTGGTTTTAATCGTAGTTGTGTTTGTTGTAGAAATTTCGTTGTAAAATTTCGTAATCTTCTGTTGTTGTATTTTTGTTTGTTTTTTTGTTTGCTAACGAACTGACGTGTTTTTTTTTCTTTGCTGGCGATTTGCATGAGTTTCTCTTTGCTTGTTTGTTTTGAGGTTTTGTTTTGCAGAAGGTGATTGCTTGTTGCTTTTCCTTATTCTTTAATTTCTTTTCTTGTCTTCTTCCTTCCTTTGTTAATTTATTTCATGATTTTCTTATTTTCTTTATTTCTTTCATTCGTTGATTTCTTTCTCTCTATGATTTCTCCTTCCTTCCTTCTTTCTTTTCTGCTTTCTTACTTCTTTTTTCTTAATTCTATCTTCCCTTTTCTCATTCTTTGGTTCTTCCATTTCCTCATTTCTCCTTCTCCTTCTTCTCATCTCGCTTCTTACACTCTACCACCTTTAGTTTTATACGATTTTTTTCTTTCTTTTTATAAATATAAATGGACATGAACTCTGCTGTTATGACAGTTAAGATAACAAAATAACATATTAAGATTCAATAAAATGTTCTTCAATTACTAAAATATTAAGACGAAAATGGGGGAGAAATAAAACTTTGGACCTTATTACCTTTTCCTTTGCCTCTCCCTTTATCAACCCTTTTCTTCCCCTTCCTTATCGCTCTCCTCTTCTTCTTTCACTATTCGTTATCCTTCCCTTCCTCCCATTTCTCCTTTCCTTCCACTTCCCCTTTTTACTTCTCTTTTTCTTTCCCCATCTCTCTCTCTCCTTCTATTTCTCTTTTCCTTTCTTCTCCTTTACCTTCCTCATCCTTCCTCTTTCTCCTCCGCTTTCTCTTCTCTTTCCCTTCTCCATCCTTCTCCTCCTCCTCTTTCCTCCTTTCTTCTTTCTCCTTCCCTCATCTCTGTCCCCTCCCCCTACTCCAACTCCTCCCTCTTTCTTCCCCTTTTCCTATCTCTCTTCCCTTCCCCTTACTCCTCCTCCCCCTCCTCTTTCTCCCCCTCTTCCCCTCTCCTTCGTCGTGTGGCGCTGGTTATAACAGACAAAGACCGACTGACAGTAACACCTTGTAAGTTGTGATCTCGTCAGTGCTGTGAATAACATGCTTAAAGATTTTTTTGTGTGATTTAGTCGCAAGTAATAGTTGTAGTTATAGTGGGAATAGTATTAGTATTAGCAGTAGAAGCAGCAATAGCAGTAGTAAGATTAGTAGTAGTAGTAGTAGTAATAGAAGAAGAAGAAGAAGAAGTAGTAGTAGTAGTAGTAGTAGAAAAAGTAGTAGTAGTAGTAGTAGTAGTAGTAGTAGTAGTAGTAGTAGTAGTAGTAGTAGTAGTAGTAGTAGTAGTAGTAGTAGTAGCAGCAGCAGCAGCAGCAGCAGCAGTAGTAGAAAAAGTAGTAAAAGTAGAAAAAAGTAGTAGCAGTAGTAGTAGTAGGAGAAGAAGTAGTAGTAGTAGTACCAACAGCAGCAGCGGCAGCAGCAGTAGTAATAGTAGCAGTAATAATAGTACTAGTAGTAACAGTAGTAGTAGTAGTAGTAGCAGTGGTGGTAATGGTAATAGCATAAGTAATGGCAGTAGCAGTAGCAGTGGCAGCAGTAACAACAACAGTAGCAGAATGATTGACAATTTTAGAACTAGATGGTACTTTAGAGTTCGATTTAGTTGCTAGTGATTGCCAATGCACTGTAGTATTTCCTAAAAGTAGTAGCATTTGAGTTGACAGTGACTTTGATTTGACAAATAACCCCCCCCCCCCAGCTACTAACTATCCCCTGCTACTTTATAATTAACAGTCACTTCACTAATACTTGCAATGCAAAGGGTTGTAAAAATTGTTTTTCTTGGTTTATTTTATCATGACACTTTTTTTCCCAATCTCTGTCTTTCATTATATTTTTTCCATATATTTTTTTCCAACTGTATTCTTTTTTATCTACTATATTTTTTCTACTATATTTTCCTACTATATTTTTTCTACTGTATTTTTTCTACTATATTTTTTCTACCATCTTTTTAACTACTGTATTTTACTATTATATTTTTTCTATTATATTTTTATACTATATCTTTTTGCTATATTTTTCTACTATATCTTTTTACTATATTTTTCTACTATATCTTTTTGCTATATTTTTTCTCCTATATTTTCTTTCTGTGATATATTTTTACCATGTAAAAATCTAACTCAATATCCAGTGCAACATATTGCATGTTGCATGATTGCTTGAACCGTATTGTTTACTCTGCATATTGAGGCTTGTTCTGTTTGTGTTTGTGCATGAATGTGAATTTACTTGTATTAAGTATTTATTTGTATTATTAGTTGTATTACTGGTTATTTATTCATTGTGTTACGTTATTGGTTACTTGTATTATTAGTTACTTGTATTATTAATTACTTGTATTATTAGTTACTTGTATCATTAGGTACTTGTATTATTAGTTAATTGTATTATTAATTACTTGTGTTATTAGTTTTTTGATTGGAAGCATTAAAATAAATTAGTTGAAAGTTGCATGAGTGTGATGTATTACATTTCTATAGATTTCTGTTGCTGTAGTGCTTGATAAACTTCAAAATATTTGTTTTTATTGTATTCTACACATATTTATTTTCGATTTCCTTGTTTTGTTTACTTGATGTTGTTTTGTTGCTTTGATTTGCATTGCTTATGTTGTGGTTATGTTTTCATTGTTTTCTTTGTCATGTTGGATACTTTGTTTAGTTTTCAACTGTTCATTTCACTTCGTGTCTTCTAGTTTCATGTCAGTTTATGCCAGTTGTGAATAATATTGATAGTCTTTAGAATATTTTTTAGAAATATATAAATGTATAAAAGATTCATATTTTTTTCACTACATTAATCGTAATTACTTGCTTAGAGATGGTGATAAAGTTACTATTCTATAAGAAATCTGATTAAAATGAGTCACTGCTAATAAAAGATTTAAAAACCATTAAAATATCAAAACAATAATATCTAAACCTAAAGAATAAAAAAAGCAAAAAAAAAAAACAAAGCAAAACAATGAAAAGAATAAAGATAATGAACAACATAATCTAAATAACACATGATAACGATGAGAGACAAGTCACTCATCTATTTTCTCTTCCTCACAGCTACGGGTAATCAGTCGAAATCTACGTAGTCCTCACAACCTACTCGACCCCCCACCCCCCCTTACACTCTCTCCTCATACACGCACACACCCCTCCTTGACGTTCTGAAAAGGGGCGGTGTGTACTCGTGTGTTATGGGGGAGGAGGAGCTACAGAAAAAAAGGGGGCGTGGCTGAATATTTACGTCTGACGTCATCAGCAGCAGAGATCGTTCGAAGGGCTTGTCTGTTCTCCGTTTCTCGTTTCTTTTTTTTATTCTCACTTTTTCTCTTACTTTGTCGTCGAGTTCTTGTCTTTGCTTATGTCTTGGGCTCCTGGTATATTTATTTATTTATTCTATCTTCGAAAGGAATTGATTTATTATCATTGGAATGAAGGACTTTATCCTGATTAACTTCAATCTCTAACTATAGAGATGGTTAATTACGAAGCAAATTAAGGAAACACCAAAAGAAAAAAAATGAAATCAAAATGTTCTGAAAAGTGAGCTCAAGACGTTAAAAAAAATCCTGCTTTCCTTTCAAATGTTTCTCTAAACTTCTATTCAACCGACGCCTTTTACGTCTCTTTACTGATGACATTCTTATTCCACAAATGGTATGGAGATTTTGTCTTGTAATATTTATTGCTTTTACGATGTAAAAAAGATATATATATAACAAAAACGAAAAAAAAAAAAGAAATGGCCGAAGGTTGAGCTCCGTTGTGGCTGCCCTCTGTACGCGGGTTCCTTGTGCCAAAAGGTAGATTAGATCATTAATTAAAGTCACCTGAGGTAGATTACTTTCCCAGGAGAGTCCCTTAGATGTGGCCACTCTCCCTTTAAAGAAGGATTCCTGAAACTCCACTACACAAACCGGATTTTAAGGAGGCTTCCTCAATCTCCACTACATAAACGGGGTTTTAAGGAGGCTTCCTGAATCTCCACTAGGTAAACCGGATTTTAAGGAGGCTTCTTGAATCTCCACTACACAAACCGGATTATAAGGAGGCTTCATCAATCTCCACTCGGTAAACCGGATTTTAATATGGCTTCCTGAAACTCCACTGGGTAAACCGGGTTTTAAGGAGGCTTCCTGAAACTCCAGTAGGTAAACCGGATTTTAAGAAGGCTTCCTGAATCTCCACAAACCGGATTTTAAGAAGCTTCCTGAATCTCCACTTAAACCGGATTTTAAGAAGGCTTCCTGAACTCCACTACAAACCATCCTCACAAAACCGGATTTAAAACGATCACTTACCTGAACGTAGAATCAACAACCCTACCCGTAAACTCTCGCAGACGAAGGCCTGTAAACCCCCTTGGCCCGTTTTATTCCAAGGCGTCTTAGAGTCACGTCTCAAGAAGGCATATACGCGTGTTTCTCTCTCCCTCGCTCTTCAATTGGGTCGCTATTCTGTTGAAGATTCATAAATAACACGAGTGAACACGGTGAAAATGTAGGAGAAAAGTGTTCATTGGTGCTTCCTAACTGTGCTATGATGACCTACCTTTGACCATAATTAAATGAATAAATAAATATATAAATGTATATATGTATATATATATATATATATATATATATATATATATATATATATATATATATATATATATATATATAATTGTATACATACATATATCTTTTCTTCAACTGTAAGCCTTTGGCAAGAAAATACTATTTATGAACCTTCATTACGAAGAACAAACAATACTGCTCTTTTATTTTCTGTACTGGGTATGTACGTCGCGTTGCTGGATTGGCAACACTGCGATACTTCCCAAGGATATAAATCTGGCAGATTTTGAAGAAGCACTTGATGCCTATTGACCATTTCCTGCCTTATTAGGGCAAGGTAATTTGATCAAGTAACGTGGGATTAAAGGTAGACGTGTTAACGTAGTATAACCTCCCGTTAATATAATGTGGTATATATATATATATATATATATATATATATATATATATATATATATATTATATATATATATATATATATATATATAGATGACCCGAAAAGAACAAAAATGTCAGTTTCAAACGAATATCACTCCCGCCGATTAAAGAAAGTAGCTGCTCTTTGGATCAATGAAAAGGCTAATATTTGCTAAACCGATTTTGTTCTCGAAGTCTAATATCCGAGTCTCGAATCCAGCAGCCAAATTATCCCAGACGGTGCTGAGGCATTTGGAACCTTACGCGACAGTGACACAGAGGTGAAATTAGCCCGCCGGAGTTCCCTTGAGGCTCTATGCAAATGTTCCAATATTACGGCATTGATACTTTCTGTGTGCGTGTGACAGCGTCTGTGTGCACGTCCATGTGCGCGAGTGAAATATGAAAAGCGTAGTGTGTACGTATGTAAGTGTGTGAGTGAGAGTTAATAAGAAAAAAAAGATAAATACAGAATTAGAAGAGATATAAGAATTGTAAAAGAGTTTTTTGTAGTTTTATATTTCAATTGTAGACTTAAGCTTATTCTGTGCCAGTCTTTCTCCTCGAGGAAATCATAGAAATCGTAGTAATACTTGCTTTATAAATATTGTTTGGAGGTTTTCCTTTAACATTTGGTTATTTAGACTAAATATAATGTATATGTAATCACGTGTGTATGGATATACATACTTGTTTTCTTTTATATACGGTAGGGCTATTAACCCCCTTTTTTAGCTTGTGTTCTAAGGCACATGTAGATGATAGGTCCGCATAGCTTTATTTATATCTGAATGGCATTTTATCTGAGATTATTTATGATGAGTATTAGTCTCCTCTTCACTTATCTGTTGTTTATGATCCTCGTTCTTATGAGATTAACACCTCTTTTTTTCTGTATAAAGATGACAGGAGCTTCACTAGAATCAGCGAGTTGGAATAGAGTATATTTTCATCTTTGCGTTTTAACTCTGCGGAATTTTGGTGGAGCTTAGGCCTATGTAAAGAATAAAGTGTTGTTTTTTTTTCTCTTATCTTATCTTTGGTGTATATATATAGGTGAGAAATCATGTAGATGTTACCCCTACAGCTTTGTACTGACATGCGCATGGGAACAGTGTGCGTGTGTGTGTATCTATGTGCGTTTCGCTTTCGACGCAGTGACGTCAGCGTGACGCAGTGGTGCAGGTTGTGACGTCATGGAGCGATGCCTGTTTGTCACGCTGCGTCACGTGATGGGCGAGAATCTTTGATGGCCCAGCTGTAAGAAAACATTTTTTTATAACTACTGAAATAAAAAGAAAATTGAAAGGCAGTTGGTGTATTTTCATTCGTGGTTCCTTTTGGTGATGTTTGAGAGAAAGAGAGATAGGAAGTCACTCGTTCACTCGGGTACTTGATCACTCGTTCAGACACTCATTTATTCACTCACTTTCACTCACACTCTCTCCTTCACTCGCTTTCATTTTCACTTACTTTCATTCTCTCGTTTATTCAGTCTCATTCATTTTGTCCTTCTCTCGCACCCATTCTCATTTTCACTCACTCTCATTCTTTCATTTATTCACTCACTCACTCACTCTCTTTCCTTCAATCGTACTTATTCTCATTCTTACCCATTCTCATCCTTTCATCCATTCACACTCGCTCATTCACTCACACACTCGCTTTCAATCTCTCTCCTTCACTCACTCTCAGCCACTCTCTCATTCACTTCCATTCTCTCTCTTTCACTCACTCTCTTTCGCCCACGCTCACTCTACTCCTTCACTCACTCACTCACTCCCATTCTCTCTCTTTCACCCCTTCTCACTCTCTTTCATTCACTCTCACTCTCACTCACTCATTCATTCACCCACTTACTCACCTTTCCCCTTCATACACGGAAAAAAACATACACCCCCCCCATCCCCACATACATACATACATGAATGTCACTTGTAGAAAGATATGGATGAGAATGAATATCTTCCCAATACAAGAGATGTATCTGACCGGTTTCGTATTATCATCTTATTATTATATTATTATTGTTGTTATCATTATTATTATTATCAATCATCATATCATCATCATCATTATCATTAATTATCATTATCATTTAATTATCATATCATATTATCATTATATATCATTATCATCATCCAAATCGCTATATAAAGAGCCACACTGAAAAAATCGCTATTTATACCACCAAAGGTGTCAGTGCAGGTCAAGATACAGCTAAGAAAGAATGAAAGAATAGAAAATCGGCTATTTACATAAAAAAAAAAAACATGTTAGCTGATCTTTTTAAACTTATCAAGAGAAGGAGAAGTTATTTTAAACTTATCAAGAGAAGTTACAATCTCTGATTTATATATTCGAAACCTGTCATATCCATCTCTTGTATAGTGAAGATATTCAATCTCATTCATACCTTTTCTACATTTGTTATGAATACGGTTCATGAATAACTCACTGGAACTTCTTTCAAGGCACCAAGAAGCTGAAATATTTCTTTAAGATGGTAGTAGGATTTTTTTTTTTTTATAGAAGAACCATGCAGATAATCTTGTTATTTGTTATGTTATTGAACTGTAAATGAAAGACGAAAGTGACAAAGATGGTTATGATTTTAAGAAATGCTAATATTGCAAATCTTAATGTTGGTATTGATGGTATTGATAATGATATTTTTAATTGCAACAGTAACAACATTAATGAATGTGGTGATAATAATAGCAGAAGAAATCAGGAGAATGATGAAAAATGTGAATAAGACTGACAATAAGAGCAATGACTATGATAATGAGGATAAGAATGGTGACAATAAGGAGGATAATGATAATGATGATGATGATGATGATGATGATGACGATAATGGCGATGGTAATGAAGACGCTGCTGCTGATATTGATAATGATAATGTTAATGATAAAGGTTAATGGTGATAATGAAAATGATAATGAAATTGGTGATGATAGTAATATGAACAATAGTAATGATGCAAATGAATACTACTAATATTGATACTGCTAATACTGCAGTATAAGTAATAAACAGTACTAATAACGACAGTAATAAAAATGGTAATGATAATGATAATAATAATAATAATGATGATAATGAAAAAAATAATGATAATGATAGTAATAATGATAACATAAATAACAATAAAGCCAACAATATTAACAACTAAAATGATGACAGTAATAATAATATTTAAACCGATAAGGACGATAAAGCACATTTTCATAAGAAGGATTAAGCGTCACTGAAAAAATCCATTATATAACCCACTTAGCCGAAGTCTGCGGGAAAAAACCCTCGTTTGATAACCGCGCGATAAGTCACGTGGTCTGGGTAAGGGAAGGCTGGTTGTATAATCACTTTTTTTTCATTATTATTATTTTCTGTTTTTGTTTTATTTAATTCTCTGTGTTTTTATTTGTTTTTTTTTTTATTTTTCTGTATTTTATGCGTTATATACATTGATGAAGATTTGATATTTTTTCTGTATTTGATAACAACTTTTACAGTTCATAAGAACTTCTTTTAGAATTAAT